CTTGGAGAAGTTTGTAGGTCTCTCTGGGATAAATGTTCATACTTTTCCCAAATCCATAACTGATGCACACACTTGTTTATTGAAGATGACTTGTTCACATATTTTGTAGAAAAATCGAATAGGTATTACAATCAAAAGTCATTAATCTGGACTCGTCGGGACTTCGGCGATTCCGGATTATCGATTTTTCCGGATTATAGATCATCAGTTTAAATCTAGTAAGATGGCATGCAGAAATTATAAAATTAAAAATATGAAACCATAATTTATGAAATAAAGAATAATTATGATCTAAAGGGTATCAAAATTCACAAAAAAAAAAAGCTTAATATTTATTTGTTTACTTTATTAAACATTTCTTTCAATGTAAATTGTTTAAGTTGCTTCGTTTTTTATGTGATAATACATTCTCTTTAATTCTATAAACAGACATAATTTCTTGCTCAGTTACAAAGTTCCGCTGTTGAAGTCCTATAATTGCTGTGTCGAGAATACCGACTAATTTGTCAATCGAAATTTTTTCGTTTTCAATTACCTCTGTCACTTTCTTCGCTATCAGAAGCGAATTATAATGACGAGGAATTTGATTTAAATCATATCAAAGACGGAGTACATCGAGATGAAATACTACAATTAGTAAGGAATTATAAGCCAAATAAAAACATCTGCCCTTAAGATAAGGATAGTGCTGACAGATCAACTTCCAATTCATTGTGAGCCGCGGCGTTAAAGATAAACAAAGTTTAGATAAACAAAGGATATGCCTTCATCCATTATTTGCAGCAATTCCACTTTTTGTTTAATGGACTTCAAAACATACTTTCGCTTTGTAGATCCTTTACATATTAGTAAATATATATCAGAAATTCTATTTGACATAATTGAAAGTTCAAGCTTACTTTTATAAAATTGCTCTAAAAAGTCTGCAAAAAATAATAAGCCGAATCCAATTCGAAGATTAAGGAACAACACAATCTGCAACATTAACTGAATTAGATAATTTTAGCTTAGCTTATACCGTCTGCTATACATTAAACGCGCATTCGTTAACATATTTTGCGCACGCACACACGCGTATACGCAGCCGTAAAGGTCTTACGCGCATGCGTCAACGCGACGCATGTGCAGAAAGTTTGTAGCTTTGAGGTCCGGATTATGGGTGTCCGAATTAACGACTTTTGACTGTATTACCAAAATATAAACAATTTCAAAATACCTCAAATGAAAAGGCATAGTGCCTTCTCCAAGGATACGTGCTGTTTAGGTTTGTATATGTTCACAAATTTTGGGAGAAAATAATCAATTATGGCCATTTGATATTGACTTTGGTCAATCGGTCTGATTCATCATTGATATTCTCCTTATTGTTGTAATGCCAAGCCTTCCACATTTGCCGAAATCTATCTCTAGACATCATTTTTGTAAAGAATGGCGTTTCTGTGCAAGGATCTGTGGTTCAGTACTTGTCTCTTCTATCTTTTCGGACTTGCCCCATGAAAATAATTAGTCCCAAAAATTTCTTCATTTGCGATATTGTAATGTCCTTCCATTTCGCACTTTTTTTGAGGTATTTTGAAATTATTTATATTTTGGTAATAATACCTATTTGATTTTTCCACAAAATATGTGAACAAGTCATCTTCAATAAACAAGTGTGTGCATCAGTTATGGATTCGGGAAGAGTGTCAACATTTATCCAAGAGTGACCTACATACTTCTCCAAGAACGGTGGATTATCAGTCGGTGACCATTCTCAGGGTTGCCACTCAAACGGGAGAATGAAATTCCCTGACTTTTCCAGGTGCGTTTCAAGAAAATTCCAGTCTGTACATTGGATGTGGTAAGAGGTAAATTAATTATGGTATTACTCGTATTGTGTAGCAATTGGAGAGGATGGTTATTTTTCAGAGTTTATAATGCGAGAAAACTCATAAAATACGGCATACTAGTGAGAATGTTATGTGAGAACAATACAGGATACATCTGTAATTTTGCAATTTTTTCTGGTCAGGGGTCATGGCTGATAGAGACAATACAGACAGTTGTATCTCCATATACAGATGTCTGGCACCAGCTGTATATGGATAATTATTACAATAGTGTTGACAACACTCAAGCCCTTTTGTGAAAAGAAATTAGGGTATAAGGAACCATCAGAAAAAATAAAAGTTTACCAGAGTGTCTAAAAAAGACAAATCTCAGAAAAGGACAGACAATCTTTCGCCGTAAAGGGGGTATTTTACTTCAAATCTGGTAATCAAATAAGGAAGTGGGCCTTATTTTGTCTATACATTCGGCAGAAATGAAGGAGAGTCACGATATTATGAGAACAACACGCCAAAAAATAACTAAACCAAATGCATTGATTGATTATAACAACTTTATGAAAGGTGTCGACTCTGCAGATCAGTATTTGTTTTACTATTCAATACTACGAAAGACGACGAAATGGACAAAATGAGCAACAATGTACATGATAAACAATTGAACAATGTAAAATTGTTCAATTCCTTTGTTATCTATATTTCAACAAAAAGCAATAGAGTAAAATATGAGAAATTTTTATATGAAGTAACTTTGCATTGGGTTACTAATTCAGTACGAACCAAAGATAAAAATCAAGAGCCAGGACCATTCACATTCAGGAAAAGGGCACCTAAACAAGATCCACCAGGAAGATTGTCAATGGATAAACGTGTAAAAAATCATGTGTAATTTGTTATTTCATAAGATTATTAAGTGCTGCCTTTTTTTTATCCAGATATTTTGTGGATAAATTAAGAATATTTTAAATTTCAGCCCTTTTTAATACAATTAGAGATAAAAAACGCACTCATGATTTTACTGCTTGCAATGTTGAAAAACGTAAACACGTTGCATTGACTGTAATGCAAAAAGTTCAAATTCTGCAAAAGATGGAGATAGGTGATAGCATTTTATAGCAGAATTGCATGGAATTGTGATACGATTGTGTATGATACACGGAAAAATACAGAAAAGTTGTTGAAATTTTACAGCAACAGTGATTCTAACACCAGAATCTGAAACCGGAAATCTCTGCATGAGGAGAAATCGGCAAACCTCGATGCTGTGTATATATATATAATACAATGACTAATATAATCAATTTATATATGTAATAATAATTTAATGCATATAATAAGTTATTGCAATAATATATATAATAATTTAATTAAATGTATCTAATATGCTTTATTTATTTTGCACTTTTAGTCTGAATATTATGATTTATCTTTTCTGTCCTGAAATGTGCAAAATCCTAAAATCCGTAGAACCTCAGGCCCCAAGCTTTGCGGATTTCTGGACTTCTACTGTATTGATGAAAATTATAAACTTTTTCTTTTTTTGTACTTTCAACTGTATATTCTATATTCATTTACACAAAAAGTGCTTATCTTTCATAATAACGATGAAGAATACATTCTAAGTTGAGAAAAATCAGTTTCATAAAAAAATTAAAAGTAGTTTTCAATTTATAAAGATTTTACGTAACGACGAAATTCGCGAGGATTTTTGAAAAAATCGCCTGCTCCCGCCATAACACACCGATGCGAAGTGCCCAACAACAATGTGTTAATAGCGTCTGCTATACATTATTGACTATGTATCATGAGATTGCTGACAAGTTGTTCCACTAAATTTTGTCTTGCTTCTATTGCACAATGAGACAATTAAGCCTGATTGTATTAGTTTATTTATTATACTTACATCTAATTCTTGCACATGCTTAAGGCATACCTGAATCCTGAATAAATAAATTCCCACATACACTTAAGGCTTATCGATAGCCTGCGCTAGATATCTTACCGCCTGATGCAGTCGCTGCGGGTCCTGAATTCTACTACCAAGCGCCTCCTAAGTCCTAAATTTTTGCCACCCCTAAATTTTGGATACCAGTGCTTTTCCTAAATTCTAAAAATAATTTCATCTTTTAAATTTGTTAAGCTCTGGCACCAGTTTTGGGTTTATGTGTAAAACAAATCAGTTATTCTTAATTCAAATAGCACTAAATGTAATCTTTTGGGCAATGAGTATTATAAACAAAACCTATTTTTAGCATATGAAATTTTTGTTAAATTTTTCCTCGTCAATATTTCTTAGCGCATTTAACTTAAATCTATAATTGTTCCCAAGCATAATAATGTCAATGTAAAAGGTTACCATACTCTTTGTATTAATATAAAAAAAAAATTGTTTGGGCATCGGTGCATGAATCATTACTCAAATTGTCATGTGTTAATAAACATATGGTGATGAAAGCAAAATATAATAAATAATGATTCGCCAGGTTGGTGTCAGGGATATAAAATGTTAATAGGTGTAAAATCAACGATGTTTCTATCTAGAATGTTTCAATTTGAGATGTATGCTAAGTAGATACACAGCTTTGGAGCCAAATTATTATCACACAAATTTTTGCTAAATTATTGTTTCTACAATAATGAGGTATTTATTTAGTGCTGAAGGGAAAAGAAGAATCGGAACTCTCCGAGAGTTTTATCTATGGGGGGGGGAATCCAAAGTGCATGCGTAAAAGCATTAAAAAAAGTTGTTGGCAGTTTTGAGGTCCAGATTTTAGATCATTAAGGATATTGGACATCTGGATCTCGGACTTTGTACTGTATTACAATAGAAGTTGCATGAAAAGCTAATATTAACATATCACACAAACACAAAATTTAAAACATTTGCAATTTTGTTTTTTATTCTGACTCATTTGTTTTAGATTATAATTAATATATTTTTGACAGATAAAATTAAACAAGTTAAATTAATCCCTTTAGATTTAAAACAAAGGATAATGCATAATAATACATAAACTCTACAAAAAGATTAAAGAAGGTTAAAGAATTAAAAAAAAACTAAAAATGTGTACGCCACTCTTGATTATTGCATAAATGTTTTTTACAATTTGAAAAGTCTTCAATATGTACAATAGATATTAAAAAAGAAAAATATTGTTTAAAAGAATAACTTACGTTTATAAAATACAGTTTGAAATTTCTTGTATATTTGGAATGCTGTAGTCATTTCAGTAAATGCAGATGTTTCATATACATTAGTATGAGTGTTTAGCTTCCAATTACATTCCAGAGCTGCTTTACAGAAGTTGTAAATGTGTCGAAACATTACAGAAATAAGTTCATGAAGCATGCTATTTTCTTCAGTTAAGAAACATCTGCAAAGCATAATTTAAAGTTGAATCTGGATTTATAAAACATATTGCATATACTAAACATTAAATAATTAGCTTTACAATCTGAAATATTAATATTTTACCAAACTGATAAATTTACATATTAATGAAAATTTCAAAGTTCCATAGTATTAAATGTTAATAATTACTGAATAGCAACTGCAGACATGTGTAATCACATCTATTACTTACTTGTTAATTGCTTATTTAATCTAATGTTATTTAATTGATTAGTTAATCTTATATTATGCCAATAATTATTCAAACAGAAACTGCAAGCATATATCATCAAATCTACTGTTTATTAATGCTTATTTCACATCCTACCTTTTTTGATGCTCTTCCCCTCCCCCCAAAAAGAAAATATACAAGTGTATCTCTGAGATTTGCCAAATCATAAAAAGAGAAGCTAGTCTCAAAATGCTCCCAGATTTTAGAAGACCCCCAAATCATCCCATAATTGTATGAAGAGAACTACAATTTTGTTTTCCTGTCTAAAATATGCAAAATAAAAGAAAAAAAAAACTACTTTAATAATGCTCTAAAGACATTCTTCAAGATTATGATATACTGCTTATAAACTGGGAGTGATCTAATTCCCATGAAATTAAATTTAAGAAAACCTATTGCAGAAGTACAACACTAGTAAATATGTATGAATTGTCAGTACAAAACGGAATAGGTTTGACAGTAGTGGCTCATATTTATGGCTGTTTAAACATTTATTTACTGCTAGTGCCAAACTAGTTGCAAGTGACTGAAGAGATCTGCATTTAGAGGCACGTCTTCATGAATGGTAGTATGAAAATGACACATATTCATTGAAACATAAATATTAAAAAAAAAAAATTGTTACACATTAAAGGGCACTTTAATTTCTTAAAATAATACTAAAATCTTCCCATTTTCTAAACAATGCAAGAATATGTATTCAGGTGAAAACCTAAATAATACCTTGACAAAGCTTTTTCTAAATACTGCATGTGAATATTTTCCAATGCATCAATACTTAAACCATCAGAGGAAATGCTCTTCATCAGATATTCCCATAAAGGACCTCGAAAATGTAAGTATATAGAATTTCTAATAATTCTTACAAACTGATCCATATCAAATCTGAAAAAAAAAAAAAAAAAAAATTTAATTTAAATTTTCTTTCACACTGCCAAGGAAAAAACACAACTTGTTTCAGTTTAAATTTTGAATTTTTTAAATTAACAATACTCCATGCAGAATATTTATTGAGTTGTTACCTTTTTAACATTACTTCTTTATACTGTGGTGAATCTTGAAGAAGCAGAGTCCTTTCTGAAGAATGAGGAGGAAAAAAAGAATATAATACAATTTTGTTTTACGTTTTAAAGATAGAAATAATACTTAAAACACTACTCTAAGTGCAGTAGTCATAAAATCATACAAACAAAGTATATCCATAAAAACATCATAAAGAATTAAGAAAACAGATGTTCAAATATTATTATTTTGATTCAATTTCAAATAAAAAATAAACTGCAGAATTACTGATAATTACCCAACAAACTTCAAAATTTTGATATCAAAACTGATACGTCTATATGATTATCAACAAATAGGATGTCTATATGATGATCTTTATGACAAATTATATTGCAGCCTTGAATGAATATTTGTCTTTCCCTCTTCTATAACTTTCAGCAAATTTGTCAGTTATATGGGATGGGGAGAGGTAACACAGTTTTCTTAAAAAGCCAATAATATTCATGCAACCTACTCCCATAATTTGACTGAGATTTAAGAATTATGCTACGAATCTCAAATTAAAATTTCTTTATAAGATTTTATAGAATTTCTTTTATGAAATCGATTATTTCTGGAATAACTTTGAACCATTACTTTTCAATTATGTTATAACTTATAAATAACCTTTAAATATATGCAGAGACCTTTATTTTTCATTAAATGAAATTTTCAAAGCTTTAATACATACACAAAGACAATATTCTATACCTTCCTATATCCAACTGATGAAATATGCATCATATAATAATATTTCTTGCCCATACCAGGTTAGATTAGTAAAACAAGGCCTTTAAAAAATATCTTACATGAAAAATTGATAAGCATAATTTCTAGATTTATATCTAGCTGGGATTCAATATTTGCCTTCCCTCACCTAAATTAGTTAGCTCTCTTTTGCTAACTAATGTATGACGTGCTCGAAGCAAATATTTGCCTTCCCTCACCTAAATTAGTTAGCTCTCTTTTGCTAACTAATGTATGATGTGCTCGAAGCAAATATACTGTTATCTTTTCAAGATTATACAAGGCGAAATATCATGCCTCTTCTAAAAGAATAATGGTTATTACTTTCTTTGGAGCTGACTGAGATCATTCATAAGCAGTATAGAACACACTGCAGATCCAATGTTATTATAAGAAATGATTACATTTCATATTGAAGCATTTTATTCAATTTAATGAAATTATTTTTTGTATAAAATATTTTTACATCATTTTAAAATTTACAATGAAAGCAATCCTACAAATAACTTCAATAGCCTTCACATAAATTTTTTGAGGGGCTTTTGTTTGATTTTTTGGCTGTTTCTTAATGTGAGAATTCGGTGTATATTCCAACATAACATTTTGATTTAGTATTAGAGTTCTTAATCCAAAGTTACTCCAATTGATTTAGTATTAGAGTATTAGTGTAGTATTTGATTTTGATTTAGTGTAGTTTTTGATTTAGTATTAGAGTATTAGTGTAGTATTTTGATTTAGTATTAGAGTATTAGTGTAGTATTTTGATTTAGTATTAGAGTTCTGAAACCAAAATTACTACCAAAGGAATTTCTTTTTTTACAGAGCCCACTGGCGGTCAAGCGGTAAAATCGCTAAACCCTGGTATTCGGTTTGAGGTTTGAGTCTTGTAAATTTCTGGTTACATGGGCATTTTCGTGGTTTTCCCCAAGTATAACATGTATGTGAGCCAATTTTCCTTAGAAAGTCCTCCACAATGGCATCCCTTCCCTTAAGCAGATAGTCTTAGTATGGTTTTCCAAAATTAAATAAACCAAAACCTTTTTTACAGAAGTTTTAGCTTACCATCAGTAAGACAAGATCTCCATATTCGACCAAGTAGCCAACATAGAAATTCCATTTCAAGTAATTTTGAGAATATATTCATATATTGTGCAATACAAGCTCGATGTATGATGATATTCAATGGCCATTCAACCTAAAGAAAATACTAAACAAGTAAATTCCTCAAAAAATTCATTTTCAAAAATTAAAAATTAAACAAAAAGAGAGAGGAGGAGGAATAAAGAGAGAAGACAGAAATAAATAACTTCTTTAATCTACAGAAATATTTTCTGTTCAATTTATTAATACTCAGTAGCTAATATGGAAGTTATTACATTGAACATACTTACTCCCATGTATTGTTACATTTACATATTAATTTGATTAAATTTAGTAATAACTATTTTATTATAACTACTTGATAACATAATATGATATTTAGAATAGCCTCAAAAATAGAAACAAAGTTAATGAAGTTTTAAAATGAGTAGTTAAAAAAATTATTTTAAAATATGAAAGTAATAAAAGTTTTAATACCTTAAACTCAATCCGAAAGAGGCGAAGAAAGTCATTCCCTGTAAAAGAATCTCAATTCAAAACATGAAAAATTAATTACGAGGGAAATAAAAATCTGTTTTCTTTTTTCAATATAAGAATTTTTTTGACCTTGCATTAGTAATATATTTTACGTTTAGTTTCTTAATCCTTTCACGAAAATAACAATAAATACACAAATGAAAAACATAAATTACTCATACTTTATACAAATTTAATTTTTCTAAGAATATTTGTCAAAAACTTTCCTGCTGATCATTACAATTACTTAAAAATGTTAACAAAGATTATTATATATATGATTTACATACATTCCCAAAGAGAATCTTCAGGGACAGATGTAGCTTTTACACTTAAAGAAGCTAAAACAGAGGCATTAGAACAGCAGTTGTCACCAACAGCAGTTGAGATCACTTCATTTAAAACAGTCCAATTAGCAAACTCAGCAGGAGATTTACATCCAAGTACCTAAACAAAAATTAGGACTGTCCTGAAGTTTAAAACCAGTTCCAAGTTTTATTATATTAGCTTTAACCCCTTCGCGCCGACTGTCACGTATACGTGCCAGCAACGAACACACTTATCTACCGGCCGACACGCAGGCGTGCCAGAGCATTGTTGCATTCTCTACCGACTGTCACGTATTTGTGCCAGTACCTTGGAACGTTTTTCAAACTATAATTTCTGCCACAAGATGGCACTGTATGCCCATATGGTTTCAGATACATGTACATTAGACTTTCTACTCGAAATGAGAGAAGCATGACTCACATACACGTGTTTTTGATTATATAAACAAATGGGGAACTAAATGTTTCCGAATGGCGTGATTTATGACGTCTCTTTAAATCGCACTTTATTCGCACGTGGTAGTTGTTTATTGTAAGTAGAAGTTTTATATGCGCTAAAGCATTGAGTATTTCGGTTTACAGTTCAGTTTTTAGAAAATAATTAGATCTTGTTAGTTAATTCTTTCTGTTTTTACCGTTTCAATGTCGAAGCGTCGAAAATGTTTAACAGAGCATGAAATAGCAGAAATGATGCAAGATATGATATTTCAGATATTTCAGAAATGATATTTCAGATATTGATTCTGAAATTCTGATATTGATTCTGAAAGATTAACTGAAAGACATTTTCCAAAACTTTGTTCAGAAGAGACTGATAAGAAAATGAGACGACTATGCTTCGTTTGTTCACATTCCCGGAAAAATCCTCCAAAACGGCAAATGAGTTATTACGAGTTCAAGGAATGTAATGTAGGACTGTGTGTAGATCCCTGTTTTAAAACTTTTCATACGAAAAGAGAATTTTAAGTAATATATTTAGTTTTCAGATGTATAATGTTAAAAGTCATAAAATGGTGAGTAATTAAAATAAAATGTGTAAAATGTGCATTTAAACAAGAAATACGGTAATTAAAGTATATATATATATAAATATCTATAAAGCATAAGCCGTTTAAATACTCTATAGAGCATTATTAAACAATGCGTTGATACTTCGGAAATTTCATGGATTTACGCTTAGTAGCAAAAAAGTCCCCGGCCCTGGAGAGACGCTCGCGGAAGACACTGCCGGCCTCCGCGATAAGCACGCGTTTTCGCTACCCGGCTCGAAGGGGTTAATAATAATAATTGCTTGATAATTAACATGCAACAAATTATCTCAAATTAAAACATAATTGCTCATTACTAAAATATTTTGTCAATTCTTTTATTTCCATTCTATTACTCATTAAAATTATTTATTCAGTATCTGAATCTAATATAATAAAATTTACAGTGATATCAATAAATCTGAGTATATCTCATAGCTAGAACAACTTGTCTGAGATGTACAAATTAACCTGACTATCATCAACAAATTTTGCATTTAAATCTATGAACATTTTTATATAAAAAAATTTAATGTTAATTAAATCAATCTTTAAGTATAAAATTCTAAATACACGACAGATAAAGAAATAAATAAAATATATGAAAATGATTTAATTATACACAACAGACTTATTTTTATATTTATAAGCTGGGTTGAGAGGGAACCTCTTCTAAGCAAATAAAGTTTAAAAAAAAAAAGTGTTCAAATACATGCTAGAATTACTTTCTAAATAATCAACTTTGCCTTATTAACAACAAAAATGTATTTACTTAAATCAGCATTTTGGAAAATTTAATTACTTCAGATTAATTAATAATTTGAAAAATCTTCAGTTCTAAGATATCAATATTCTAAAGCAGACTGTTCCTGAAGCAACTATTCGCAACATTCATATGCGAAAAAAAGATGCACCTTCAAACCAAAGAAATCCTATATTATATTAAATTATGAATTTGGTAAAATGAAACTTTTCTAAACTAAAAATGTAAGCATCAAATTATTAACTTCCTTATACACCTCTTCTCTATTTCTGATTATAATAAACATTCGTAAACTTTATTCACTTTAGAGCAACTCACTGTTTTAAATAAAATATGAAAATAAATTAATTTTAAAGCTTCTTACTTATATATGTTGAAGGAAACTACACTAATATATCTAGCATCAAGTAAAATTGTTAACATTTGATTCTTTACAGCAATAACTTCCATACGCTCATTTAATAATTTTGGTGGTTTCAAGCATCATATTTTCCTCTATCTGTCAATGCTTGACTCTAGCTTGAACACAGTTTTTAAAACTTTCTCTTTAACTTCACAGTGTAATATTCCTTTTTCAGTAATACAAGACTAATCATTACATATGTATTTATTTTGGAAGGGGGGATCTGTTAGTAGCAAAGGAACTGACTTTTTTAACTAATTTTTCTTAGTATGTGCTATCACATCATTTTTATACAAGACCAAATTTCTCTAATTGATATATACAGGGTGTTTCAAAACTAATGGAATACACTTTAAGGTGAAATACAGCCCTCAAAACAAACACTTTTTTCCACAGTATGCATGGTTGTATATAAGCAATATGGTACTACAAATCAGTTACTATTTACCTACCCATGCCATCTTTCGCAATGCACAAAGGATGCTTTCAGGTATTCATATAAAAGGAGTCGTTTACTCATGCGTTGTCAATATTATTTCTGTATTCATTTTATTTTTGTATTTTTCATATATTTTTTGTATGAGCTAACTAGTTGTAACATGGGTTTGCTTTTAAATGCGTGATTTTTATAACTGAAGTTTTAAATTCTCGATGGCACTGGAGTTCTTTTCAACATCAATGTAACTTCTGAATAAGGCATTGATCACACATTTTTACTCCCCACCATCAGCCCTCACATAGGACCCTAAGTTCCTCAATTATTTTACACGTCTTCAATGATCTAGTTTCAGTGAATCAGATACCTCACACTCCATATGACACTCATGAATATCATCATACTGAAGCATCATGTTCATGCACCACTGAAGCAAATTAAATTAAAATGAGAAAAATGGGGCATCATCATCATCTATCTGTGCACTGCAAAAGACAGAGCATGTGGTAAAATGAAAAACTTCCGCCAACACCTATCTGCTTCATTCTATGATTAAAAGGGTTTCATTTGGTGTGTTCTACTACCTATTAAAGTTTGTTCCATTAGTTTTGAAACACACTGAACAGTAAGTTTAAATATCTAAATATATGCTAAGAACAAATGCTTAGAGGCAAACATATAAAATTTGATTCTATAATGATGTGGAAGATTTTTTCAGAATCAAGACCTTATTATTATATTTGTTATAAAAGTTCTAATCCATGTTCTACTGAATTATTTGCACATTTGTAAAAAGAAAGAATTGTATTTTCAGACAGAAAATTATCATAGTGAACATGTTAAGGGAGGAAGCAAGAGATTTAGTCCTGTGGAAGAAATACAGCGCTAAATGCGAGTTTCAGGAAGTATTAAAATATTCTTTAAATTAAATTAATTTACTACATATACTAGTTTGTTAAAATATTAAGACACTAATTTTGTAAAGAAAATACATTAGAATTGATAAGCAAAAGATTACAAAAGCTTAAAAAATATATACCATATTTTCAAAGTATATCAAAAGAAACCCAGTGCCAATTAAATACGGCAATTAAATGGAACCACTTGAGGAAATTTTCAAAAGTTCTCAATATATAAAAATAAATATCTTCAGAAAAGGAAGAGTTTTACATTTATTTAATGACAGTCTTTCAATATAGTCATAAGTCACAGCAACATAAATTAGTACTACAGTCATAAGTTGTTAATTCGGACACCCATAATCCGGAATGATCTATAATCCGGACCTCAAAGCTACAAATTTTCTGTGCATACGTCGCGTTGACGTTTTTTAAATATTAAGCTTTTTGTATTCGTTCCGTTTTTTAATATTAAGCTTTTTGTAAATTTTGATAACCTTTAGATCATAATTGTTCTTTATTTCATTAATTACGGTTTCATATTTTTAATTTTATAATTTCTACATGCCATCTAACCAGATTTAAACTGATGATCTATAATCCGGAAAAATCGATAATCTGGACTCGCCGAAGTCCCGACGAGTCCGGATTAACGATTTTTGACTGTGTAAGAAAACCAAATAAACTGACTATGCTATATACTAGCACTTAACTATAACTACACACATTAAATCAATATTAAATGCTATTTGGGACAAAAAGGCACAGTTAAATTTCTTTCAAAATCCAATCATTTGCCATTGAAATTAGTGACAATGCCTTTCCTATTCAGACTGTTTCAGTCATCCCTTGACTGATAGCAGAAAATAAAATTTCAAAATAAAGATACTTTTATTTAGATTATACACTGAGAAATCAAAGTACATCCAGTGGCATAGTTAAGGGAAGAGTGGGGGGGAAGGGTTTTTTCAGATAAAACCTTAATTTACAAGGGTTAGCAACAAGGATCTTTGATACAGTTATAGCATAATGAAATTCTGAGTTTTCATATGACACCAAATTGAGAAGAAATACAGTTTTTGCTGCAGATGAAGTACTAAAAAATCATTACGAGATTTTAGCTTGTTACACCTTTTTTATTCCTTCAAAATTTTTTAATATCAACTAAATTATGGTCACTGTGACATTAATAAGGAAGAGTTCATGATTATGAGAGAAGTATTTTAGAGTTTTATTTCCATTATTGATAAGGAAAATGAAATTTTTTGCAGTTTATTCTAAAATATAATTTTCAGGACAAAGTTCAAAATGTTGCAATACTACAGTGAACTTTTCTTACAGCTGTTGTAAATGTATTGTGAGAAAAGTTTTCGAAATACTTTAAGAAGTATTTAAGAAAAAGAAACATTCATTTTGCATCTAAGAAACATTTCTATACTATGTACATAGCAGCAACTGGAGAAATCAAATAGACCTCTATACTGTCACCAATGGTTTTGTGGAAAAAAAAAAGTTTTAAAATTTTGTAATTTAAAGTTTTCTTTAAAAATAAACACAGAGTTCTAATTTACTTCTCTATATGCAATTTTGACACTTTTTACAGTTATTTGCTTGTACAGTCAAAAGTCTTTAATCCAGACTCGCCGGGACTTCGGCGATTCCGAATTATAGATCATCAGTTTAAATCTGGTAAGATGGCATGCAGAAATTATAAAATTTAAAATATGAAACCGTAATTTATGAAATAAAGAGCAATTATGATCTAAAGGGTATCAAAATTTACAAAAAAAAAAAAAAAAAAAGCTTTATATTTAGTCTGAAGAGCAGCGTGAAATTGATAAACATATTTCGGAATGATTAGAGGATCAAAGGATATGCCTTTATCCATTTTTTGCAGCAATTCCACTTTTTGTTTGATGGACATCGAAACATGCTTTCGCTTTGTAGATGCTTTGGTAGCTCCAGAATCGGAAATTCGTTTTAACATAATCGAAAGTTCAAGCTTACTTTTATAAAATTGCTCTAACAGTCTGCAAAAAATAATAAGCCAGATCCAATTAGAAGATTAAGGAACAACACAATCTGCAACATTAACTGAAATAGATAATTACATAATTTTAGCTTAGCTTATACCGTCCGTTATACATTAAACGCACATGCGTAAACGTATTATGCGCATGCGTTAACACATGCGCAGAAAGTTTGTAGCTTTGAGGTCCGGATTATAGATCATTCCGGATTATGGACATCGGGATTAAAGACTTTTGACTGTATATTAAGAGCAGCAATAAAGTCAGAGACAAACCAGGCAGCAAAAGCTCTAGCTATGACACTAGATATATAATTAAAAAAGAATAAAACTTGTAATAATAAATTATGTTATACAAGAATAAATTCAATGCAGTTTATCAAATTGATTACAAAAGAAACAAGTACAAACACAAGATTTTTCATATAATAAGCATCATAGAATATTAACTTTAATAGTATAATTTATTAGGTTTTAATTTTTCCCTTCCTAAATCTTTGAGAGTTCTTAACTATGAAAAATTTTGTTCCTTGAGCATATTGCACCGAACAAACAGAAAGATATGAAGAATTCTAGAATAAATTGCTATTAAAATGTTCTAAGCTGTCAACACTGTTGATGGATGCATCATTTAAAGAATGAAAGTAAAAAATGGTATATAACAATTTAAATATTAAACAAAACAACCAAACTAAAATTAACTTTCTCTTCTAATGTAGGTTTAAATAAACATGTATTAAATGGATTTAGTTATTTTCAATATACAGTGTTTAGAAACCTTTATAAGCTGAAATATGTATATTACAAACCAAGATAAACAAATGTTCACAAAGTGTTTGACTGAATCCTTCATCTTGAAAAAAGTATACATTCCTCAAACTCATTAATAATGAATCAAGTCGTAGATCATTCATAACAAACTTCATTATCATCTTCTCAACAAGGTGGATCCTATTAAAAAAAGTTTATTACTTATAACTAAGATAAGGAGTCAAAAAAGACAGGAGAAAAATTATAAACAGATATATTTTAACATTTCATACTAAAATAATAAAGCCCATTTACATATCCCCTAATAATCCCTTTATAAAACCAGATTTGAGGGGGGAAAAAAGACCATAAACAATAGTATTTACAGCTTTAAATCTGATTTAAAATATTACATATATATGCAGAATAAGAATATTTATAAAAAAAAAAAAAAAAAAAAAAAAAAAAAAAAAAAGAAGGCTTCCGCCTTTATTATTGTTTCAAAACACCATCCTACTACAAATCAGAGCTATTAAACAAAATGTAAACTCAAAAGCTTTTGACTTTACTGCTTAATTATCAGTGCTCTTATTTAATATTTCCCCCACGAAATAACCTGTTGTTTCTGAGTATCCAGTACTGTACTTATCCAAGTATTTGGAGATGGAAAGTGAATTTATGGAGGAAAAATATTGCAAACAAAAGAAGGCTAATTAAAACAAGACAGATAAGAGGAAGTCAATGATAAAAACATTCTGTAGCTATTACACCTATGCACTTTGATGAAGATTCATTATTCCATATGCAATAGTATAATACATAACAGTAATATTTTAATGCATAAAAAAGGATTAGTTAGCTAATAAGTCAAAAAGGGTTTGGAATTTATTAGCTTTGGAATTTTGTGTTTTAATTTGATGTAGAGCTGAAGAAGACATTAGCAGGACCAATGTACAAGCATGAAACACTACGGGTATGAGATGCATTGGAGAGGTCAGAGAGATGCATCAATGCCAATTCCCATGGCAGCATTTGGCTTCATCATCATCAATTGCTGAGCTATGTGTGAGGGTCTTCTACCAGCTGACAAGCACAAGTGGATTTTCTCGTGTTGCAGATTGCATGGCTACTCTCCAGAGTGTTTTGTAAAGACTGAGGTTGTCATTGTCATTATGATCACTTGAGTTTCTAAAGTGGCACAGCAAATATTCCTGATAGAGTACAAATGAAGGCAACTGTACACATCTCTGTAAGCTTCTAATTAATATTGCATCAAAATCATGTGGACTCCTTTGTTGTGTTATAGTCTGCCTAAGTAAAGAGAACTCATTTTTATATTTTTCATTTACTTTTCTGATTTCTGTGAATGTACCATGCAAAAATTAGGTTATGTAGTACAAAAGCCAAGCATTTAAATATCCACTTGGGGGTGAATCCTTTCTGGAAGACTTTCTACGAGAAATTGGTTTCTTTTTATGTTGCAAATATACATAAATACAAATTATTGACAATAAAGACAGCCTCATCTTTAAATTATTATTCCAAGTAATTACAATATTATTTATATACCTAAAGAACTACTTCGCATACAAATAATAATAATAATAATAATAATTTTGTTACCCCATATATAGAAAAGAAAATTAAATTGCAGAATTATAAAATTAAAAAATATATTATGATTATAATTTTATATTATTTATACTTATTACAAATCTATAATACACAAAAAAACACATATTATAAAATACATTATTACAAGTCAAAGTAGAAAAAACAAATCTAGAAAATATTAAGAATAATGGAAGAATACCAGAGGCAGCAACAAAATTCCGCTGTTCAAACAATAATTATTAAACATATTGAGAAAATATAGCAGCAATAAAAGACTGTATGAAAAAAATGTAACAGAAAAACTGCCTTTTTTATGTCCAGGATATTGAAAGTCTGCACAAAAATAAAATTCTGAAGATCTTATAATTTATTATGTTCCCAAGAATTTTTAAAAGCAATGCCAAGTTTTGATTACTGATTAAGCTAGCACAGTATTGCATTAGAAAATATACATATACAGGGTGTCCCGTAAATGTTGCAAGAAACTTCTGGGGGGAGTAAGGCACATCCTGGGGGGAGTAAGGATTAAGAATTGCATAGGAACCCAGGGGTAAGTGGGTAGCAGAGGTAGAAGATGGGAAAAGAAACAAGAGTGATTAATTTGAAACATTTATTGGACATGAATACAAATGGTGTACGACAGCTTGAATGTTACAACAGATGCTCGAAGTTTGCACCATCAGACGCCATACATGCCTGACACCGACAGATCATTTATGGCTGGACATGTTCAAACACACCGGGAGTTTCTTTGATTGTAGCAGCTGTGCAGGCGAGTTTTGGCACGAGATCCATTTCAGACACAATAGGATCGTGATACATGACATTTTTGATGGCTTCCCACAAAAAGAAATCAAGGTTCGATAAATACAGTGAGGATTGGGGGCTAGGGAACTGGTCCACCACACCCATCGATGCGGAAATCCCTAGCCCCACCACGCCCATCGATCCATAGATGCGGGAATGATTTGTTCAAATGGCTATGAACATCCAGTCCAAAATGAGTTCATTTCTTAATGACCCATAGTCGCACAAATTTTGATGCAGACGTGCAAATAAACTGTGGTAAGGTTGATGTCTGTTGGAGAAGCATTCTCGATAAATGCGTGCAGCGGTTTGTCCATTACCCTGAGCATACACTATGTGCACATTACCTTACCATACACTAAGTGCATGTCTGCAAGCTCCCACTTTGTATGGTGCTCTATGCTCTTTGTATAGTACCTACCGCTTGAAAGAGGCAAATCTCACTTTTCACTAGCATTCTTCTGTATAGCAACCCCTGGCAGTGTACGATGAGGTTTCTGAGCATGGGTTCCTATGGAATTCTTAATACTTATGATGTGCCCTACCTACCCCAGAAGTTTGTCGCAACATTTACGGGACAGCCTGTATATGTATCTCAAGAAATTAAAGACAACTTTTAACTGCAAATTAAACAATTACTACAATCCACTGAAAGAGCATTTCTTTAAAATGCTTTTCACTTAATTAAACTGATAAACATTCTCACGATAATATTGTTATTGTGAAAAGGGCTTGTACAGATTTTTAAAATTCTTACATATGCAAAACATGCAAATACACATTTTTCACCTGGATGGCTGCATAAATTTAATTTATGGTATGAGATCTTATGTCATATAATAAATGGAGACTGTTGAGTCAGTTGAAGAGTTGTTCAAGAATATATTCACCAAAATAGATGGATATCAATTAAAAGATATTTTAATGTTGATGAAGCTGCTCTTTTCTTCAAAGCCTTAGCTGCAAAAGCCTGCAACAGCCCTAGCTTCAAAAAGTGACACAATGAAGCTAAGCAAAGAATGTCTCACTGTTTTACCTTGCACAAATGCTGATGGTATAGGGAAAAAAATGACTTGTTCAGTTATAGAAAAGTCATAAAAACCAAGTTGCTTCAAACATGTTAAAAATCTGCCATCAGAATATGAAGCAAATAAGAAAGTGTGGATGACTATGTTCATTTTCACAGAATGGCTCAAGAAAATAGACAAAACTCTGAGGCAACAAAAACCATAAAATTTTTCTTTTTTATGGATGATTATACCACACATCCTTAAGTGACAGATTTTTTGCAAAATAAGAAAGTTATTTTTTTCCTGGCAAATTACATTAATGCAGTATAACTTTACGTCTGGTTGTTATTAAGAATTTGAAAATGTTCCACAGGGAAAGGTTCATTCAAATAGCTTTTTGAAGTATAACTATAAGAAATACACAGAAAAATGTAATTATTATTACAGCTATGAAAAATGATTTCACTTATTTGGACTCATATATAACCACAAACAATTCAAAATTACTTCATTAAGAGGAAGGGATTTCTGAACCCAGAGACAAGTGAAAGTGTTGACAACGAAAATGATGATGAAACTCTGATTATGGATGATTTGAAGGATGAACAGTGATTAAGGATGATGAAGAAGATTGGAAACTACTGAGATTAGGCACTACAGCCAAGAAATAGGTAAACTGTGATACCAATGCAATAGCGTCAGACTTATGCAGAATTGATTGAAAACATTTTACCAAATATATATTTAACTAGTGGAGATGAAGAAGGAATTGAAGAAATAATCCTACATTCTTTTCAAAATTTCTGGCCTACCAGCGGCCGAGCGGTAAAGTCGCTGAACACTGGTAGTTCTGTCTGAGGTTCGAATCCAGCGAACGGGCTGGCTGCATGGGTGTTTTCATGGTTTTCCCCATGTGTAACGTGTATACAAGCCAGTTTTCCTTAGAAAGTCCTCCACGAAGGCATCCCTTCCCTTAGGCAGATAGCCCTAGTGTGCTTTGCCATAATTAAATACACCACCATCTTTTCAAAATTTCTACCTACTAAACTGACACAATACAAGCAAGAAACATTTCAAGAACTGAATTCCATTCATAGCATTTTATTTACAATTCAGAATAATAAAAAAAAAAAAAAAAAAAGTCAGATGGCAATTTAAAACACTTTCTAGCAAAGTTTTACCTTTTTATGATTTAAAATGTTCTTGGGGAGAGGGGGGGTTATTTACTCAACATGACAATTCAAATATAATTTGCATTAATATAATTTTTTTTAAATATTAATTATAAAAAAATGTTTAAAATATTAATATTAATTAAATACTTTTAATATTAAATCCGTTTGAACACATCTAATATTTAAATAAATTGAAAGTACAAAGATAAAATTGTGCAATATCAGTAGTAGGTTAGCAGTATCAAAATTGTGCAGCTAATATGGATGCTTTGTAAATTAAAATTTTGTTTATGTCTTTCCCATATATACATCATATGTGAATGGGCCCTTGAAAGAGTGCTACACTGTATTTATTCATTAGATTTAATATTTATTTTTAACTTAATTTATTTTTAACAGTTTAGAAGAACTCTACTATTAGTCAGCTCATACTATATTGTTCCACTTCCAGAATCTCTTAAATTGTAGCATAGTTGCTAAAGGGCAGTAATGTAATGGTAGCATAATTTAATATTATTACATAATTATTTAGATTTGTTGAGTGGGAACATCAGTTCAAAGTTTTAACCAATTAATACTCCATTATTATTTTTTCCTAAGCCTCATTCTTGGAAAAACTTTGCTATATTTTTATTTTTTAATATGTAATATATGTCAAATATGCATGAAAGATATATAAATATGAATATATTATTTTAAAGGCTAAGAAAAAATATTTCTTTTAATTTTAAACTTTGGATATTTCATTTCGATTCTTAAGCTTCTTCCAATGCCTCTAATCTATTTTAGTTAACTTCAGTTACAAGAAAATTTGAGTATAAGAAACAAATTTTAGTGGCCTATCAGGAGTCAACTGTGCATGTTTATAGCTTATCTAAAATACTATATTTAACTTGATAGTAAGTAACCTTACCTCATTTTCAATATAGCATTGAAATTATACAGCATTAGACTCTGCAAAGAAGTCATCTGTATACATGAATATATATCATCCTTACTGTCCCCGTACTCACTGACGAGTAAATCAAGAAGACGGTCAGCAAAGGACCCTACAAGAATAGCTGAAAGCGAAAAAAATATACATTAAAGCATGATGAATTATTTTAATTAGTCTCCATATATAACTTATACCCTTTAAAATTGCCAGTAAAAAAAATCATACGTACATTGCTATTTGAAGCTTTCAGTTATAATGCTTTTAAATGATGGTTCGTAATTAATAACCAATTTTGTCAAGTAAAAATGTTATTATATCTCTAGGGAAAATGTACTTAACACTTCTTTATTATCAAGTTTATGAGAGATGGGCTACCCTGTTCATACAGTGGTAGAACAGCAAACTGACATTGTTTTAGGCTTAAGTTAAAATTCCAGATAAGGCATAAATGTGTACAAGCATATAATACCTTTGTGGCATAGGGAGTGTTTGAAATGCTATTTCTGAACCTTCACGTATTCAACTATAGGGATCTGGCAATAGAAATTGTGTTCATAAATTTTGTAGTTCTGTTTTAGTTTAGTATGTGGAGATGGCAACTAGCCATTCTTATAACTTGCTTTTCTTATGCTAGATTTTTTATTAGTTGTTTAAAAAAAAATTATCTTTAATTTTATGCAATTTGAAGTTTGATTTCACTATCGATGTCCGTTGACAAGATTATTTCGAATCAAAGAATACATATGAATGAAGGGTTCTTCCGCAATTATTTACAGTTCACGCAAACAGTTTAGAAGAACTTATTTCCAGAAGAAGGAATAAAATAGAACGCAAGCAAGATCTCAAACATTAAAAATAAAATATGAAAGGGTTAATACTCTAAATTCCTCTCACTCAGAAGAACTTTTGAGGTAAAATGCAGTGAGTGCAGATTAAGATTTCTTAAGATTAAAGAAACAATTTCTGCTGAAACAGTATACTCAGATTTTGAAAATAAATATCAGATTGAATTCAAAACTCATATAAAATTACCTAAAATAGAATTAACAAAATCTGATGGAGATTTAAGAAGCTCGATTGGTTACTGGAGACATTTTGCGAAAATTCATAATGATCATTCTTTATCCAATGAAGATAAATTTGAATATTTAAGACTTAGCATGAAACTGGGTCATCGGCGTATGAATTAATCTAAGATTTACCACAGTAAAAAGAAAATTATGAAAAAGCTATAGAACTTTTAAAAGAGAAAAATATTCCAATTTCTCAACTTTATGATAAATTAGAATCACAGTTGTATACTTTAGAATCTTTAGGCATAACTAAAGAAATATAAGCAGCAATGCTTTTCCCCCTAGCTAAGTCAGTGATTCTAGAAACACTTTTAAGATCTGGGAAAGACACTGGGTAACTAAAAAGACTTAAAGAGTACAAAAAATCCTGATGATTGCTTATGTAAGTTATCGGAATTAAAAAAAAAAAAAAATAGAAGGACAGGAACAAACTAAGATATATTTCTTTAGAATCCAATGAACATAAATCTAGCTCACAGGTTATATGTTAAAATAAGATGTCAAATACTTTATCAAGTCCTGCAAAATTAGTTTTTTTTCACATAATACTAATGAAAATAAAGATGTCTCATGTGTATTTTTTGTACTAAATCCGCACATTCTTCTCAGTTTTGTGCAGCTATTATTAATTCTTCTCTGAAAAAAAAAAAAAAAAGGCAGCTAGTTATTCAGAAAAAAGGTCATGTTAGTTCTAAATGTTAAATTTTTGTGAAGTGTGGTGCATACAAAGGAAAACTTTATTCAATATTATGTCAGATATTGAATAAAGATGAAAAAATATTTCTAAATAAAATACCTTATATACCTATGATCAAACTAATAATTAGAAAGAGACTACTTATTTACAAACTTTACTTGTTAATGTAGTTGGTGGAAAATGTTAGGAAAAAAGTTTCAGTATTATGCGATTCTGGCTCACACAGAAGTTATATTACCAAGAATTATAAAAAGGAATTAAAGTTGAAACCTACATGTGCAGTATATACTCAACAAGAAACATTGGGGGGGGTAACAAGACTGCACTTACATTGTGTTTTTAAGCTATTGGCAAGTATGGTGTCAAATTATTACATCTGATTTTTGCAAGATTAATAAATACTTAAGGGGGATAAAAACTAAATTTTGGTGGTCACTAGTTGGCATATCAGGAAGTGACAGAATCATCTCTTCTATTTTGCTCTCAAGATATTGTTTTGTATTAGCTGAGAAATGCTTGGTGCCAGAACGGAATGTTGGCTAATGGTGCATGCGCCGCCGGAATTGGCGTCGAAATGTATTCTGTGAGAAACTTGATTTATGGTACATTGTAAGCTGCGATTTATATGTTACGCTGTAAGGTGGAACCTAGCGCCTGAGTGTCGCTATGGAAAATAAATGTATTGAAACTGTGTAATGTGTGTGGAGTTATTTTATTATGATATACAGCTATCGACGGGAAATAGAATAAGTCAATTCAAGTTTTTGTGGCCGATCAGAGCCGGAAGCAGCTAATGAAGTTTATGAGACTGTGATATTACTTTCGGTTTGTGAAATGAAGAATTACATAGGATACTTCAAGATTGAAGTTCTGTAGAAACAAAAGGGTAAGTACCCTCCTCCTTTTTGAAGCTCATTGTACCATTTTGAAGCTCTTTATTTGTTTATTGACTTTTGCTAATTAAAATGTCACTAAAGGAGATATTAGCGAAAAAACGTACATTGAAAACACAGTTAACAAAGTTAAAACAAAAGGTTGCGGACGAAAATGTCCAAGGAAGTGACTTGGAAGTACTAAAGAATAAATTTAAAGTGTTTGAGACAGAAATAAATTCTAATTTCGATTCTTTGTTCGGGTTATGTACGGAAGAAAGTATTGATGCTTATGTAAAAGAGAAAGAAGAGATTGACGATATTCTCTTAGATGTAGAAGTCGAATTAAATCGTAAATTAGCTAAACTTTCCAAAGAAATTAAATCGGAGCTTTCGGTTTGCACGAATACTGAGAACAATGTTAAATTACCCAAAATTAATTTGCCAACGTTTTCGGGTAACTTACATGAGTGGCTTTCATTTAAAGATATCTTTTTAGCCAGTGTTGATTCAAATCCTAATTTAACAGATGCAGTCAAATTACAGTACTTAAAATCTGCGCTAAGAGGAGATGCTTATCGTATTGTGCAGTCAATATCCATAGTTGACTCTAATTATAAATTAGCCTTTTCATTACTAGAAGAAAGGTTCTCTAATCACCGTGAACAAGTGTATGCTCATCTGAGACGATTTATGAATATGCATCCTATGCAAAATGAGTCTGCGTCAGCAATATTAAACTTAATTGACATTACAAATGAATGCGTGAGATCACTAGAAGTTTTAAATCAGAGTGTTAACGGTTTTTCTTCCAATGTGTTTGCATACATTTTAGGGCAAAAATTAGATCCTAACACCAAAATATGGTGGGAAAGAAAATTAGAGAAAGAGAATTTGCCTAATTTAACAGATCTTATAGAATTTCTTAAAGATCATGCAAGAACTCTCAACGCTTCAAATAGTGTGACTAACACAAAAAAAGTTACACATAGAGTTACCGCTGTTGTTTCTAATGCAAATGAAAACACATATGCAGAATTCGTGTAGGTTATGTAATTTGAGCAATCACAAGCTTTTTAATTGTCCTAAATTTCAGAAATTAAGTGTAAAAGAAAGGGTAGAATTTGTGAAAAAACAGAATTTATGTTTTTGTTGTTTTAATTTGCACAGTGTGAGAAATTGCCGTTCTAATTACTTGTGCAAGAAGTGTAAGAAAAAACATAACTTTCTCTTGTGTTATCAAAACGAAAATAATTCCGTTGGAACCACAGTAGAAAGAGCAGACACTTTAGATCAGGAGTTGGGTGATCAAAACAGCAATGCGTTAAATGTACACGCACCTGCATTTCAAGCTAAAATTCAAAACGAAACTTTTACAGCCGCTACGGGTACTAACAGTGGGAAAAACATGATTTTATCTACTGCCTTTGTATTCATTGAGACTAACAATGGAACTTTAATTAAGGTGAAAGCGTTATGTGATAGTGGAAGTGTTTCTTGTGTTTTTGTACCACTGAATTAGCGGATATACTTAATTTAAAAAGGGAAAAGACAAATATTTCGGTTTGCAGTATATCAGGTATTTCAACTACGATAAAAAGAAAAGCAGTTACCCTTATCTGTAATCAGGAACAAACGTATAAAAGAAAACTAGAGGTTTTGGTAATTCCAAAAATAGCAGGTTTAACTCCCGCAAAGTGTATCGATGTTAGTAACCTTGCGATTCCTGAGAAGGTGAATTTAGCGGATCCGGAATTTTATAAACCAGAGAAAGTAAACCTGTTGCTCGGCGCGGAAGTTTTTTTATGATATGTTACGAGCTGGTAAAATCTATGTTCCTAACACAGGCTTGATATTACAAAATAGTGTGTTTGGATATATAGTTAGTGGAAATGTAAATGATTCACGGAGAAATAATTTATCGTATTGTGGGTTAATAAATGATAATTCAGAGAGTGAATTGAAAATGTTTTTCGAACTAGAATCATTAGGCATTAAAGATGATCCTTATTGTCATGAGGAAGACAAAGCATTGGAAATATTTAATAAGACAGTTTGTTTTAAAGCTGGTCGCTACGAGGTTACTTTACCTTGGAAAAGGGAAAGTTACTTTACCCTGGAGGGAATTAGCTGATAATTATCGAGTAGCGGAAAATAGATTAAAAACTCTTGCAAAGCGAATGAATTATGACAAAACACTGTTTTCTACATATAGTGAAATATTAGATGATTATCTCAAGCAAGGTATCATTGAAAGAGTGTCAGATGGAAATATACCTATCGGTAAACCAGTATTTTACCTACCACACCAACCGGTATTTAGAGAAACCAGTGCTTCAACGAAGACTAGAATAGTGTTTGATGGCAGCTCACATGAGTTCGGGCAGCTATCACTGAACGATTGTCTATGGACAGGGACAAATTTAAATCCTAATATGTTCCATCTGCTAATTAATTTCCGATTAAATAAGTTTGCAATTTC